TAAAAGTAGGTAAAAGTAAGTTAATTCTATAATATTTAATATGGAAGCTTCCTAGAAACTTTTTAGATACTGCTTTGACTTCATAGGTGTCTTTAATTGACTTTTTGGATTAGAAACGTGGTCAACAAGTTAGCCATGTGCCACACATGTTGTTAGCTTGAAGATCAAGCTAACTATGTGGTCCACACGTAGAAAAACTTGCCTTGTAAGTCAAGGCATGTGTTCTACAAAGTCAACACATATTGGAGGTCCTATAGAACGTCGCCACGTAGCTCTTAGTTAGATAGTATATATAGAGACAAGAGTGAAGGCTTCTTCATTCTTGTCAACTCCTTTCTTGCTTCTAGTCTAGTTTCAAGGGTCTCTAGTTTTCTTGTCTTTTGGCAATAGCCATTCCAATTCCTCTTTCAATATATATACTTGTTTATATATATTTTTTTACCTCTCTTTGAGTGAATTCTCACTTGTCTGAATTATTTTTTCATCGAGTTCTTGTCCTTGACAGAAGCTCTCTCTCCTTAGAAATCCTCTTGTGTGTATTACTTATTACTACTCTTGTGTGTGTATGACTTACTACTACTCTTGTATGTGTGTATGACTTACTATTACTCTTGTGTCTTTCTAAACATTCTCAACACTAACAAAAGAGATGTGCTACTTTAGACCTTAAAACTTATCATTGGCTTTTGAGATAATACTTGACATTATAAACCAAGTACAAAATACTAATTTGGTTAGTTTATATATATATAATACACACAAACATAAATTGGAATCTTATATGTTGTGTTTAGAATTAGGTATATCTATGTCAAAGGTTGCAATTCTCTTAGTGGGTTTTTTTGCACCAAGAATTGATTTGAGACTTAAGGTCTTCTGACTGGCCTTTGATAGTTGAGATAATACTTGACTTGAATACACTTTTAAAAACTTTGCCACAATATTCATATATATTTTAAATAATAAATCATATAATATTTTTTATCGAGTTATACCTTATCAAAAATATCTTATTAAAGCCATTGACACAATGGTAAGATGATATTTTTATATGCTATACGAAATTAAAAATATCTCCCTTCTACTTAAAGTATATTCCTATTCACTTCCTAAAGGGGAGCAAAACATATTAATAAAAAATATTAAAATTAACTATTATATTAGTACAAACTATTGTCAAGTAAAAAAAAAAAACAATGAACTTGCCAACAAGGTTTTGTTTTTAAAGAAATCTCTCTAATGCACTTTTGAAGAATTGACTTTTAAAACCATTGTCCAATTTCAATTAAAGACCTAAGTTTTTACTAGCTAAAGTTTAAAATTACTAAATTTGGCATCAAAGAAATTAAATAAATAATATTATATTACACCATCCTTCTTTTGTAGTTTTTAATAGTAGTTATTTCTTTATAAATCCAAAAAATATCAAATAGTATTTAAATTTTTGTATTATAATAACATTCATAATCTTCTATTTTTAATATAAATCTTAAATTTGGAATAGTTTAGAAAGCTAGTTTAAAATAATTATTTTATTTTAAAAATTCATTATTAATCTTTTCTAGTTTAGTATTAATAAGTTAAAAGTCTTAATTGTCTAAAATAAGAGTATATTTTTAATATCATAATTTAAAATTTTAAGTTAATATGAATTTTTAGCTAAGAAGGATTCATATTTAGAGGCCACTGTGAACATTCATGGTGCAAAAGTCCTACAAAAGTTCCATGCTTAATAAATATATACATTCTTTTTGGAGACCTTTGCATTGGAAATAGCATGTGAGAAGAGGCCATGAAATAGACCAAATTATTATTTTATTATAGGTCTAAATTTCTGGTTCATATCTTAGATCTAACAATAATGAACTAATACAAATTTTTAGTTTTTTTTTTTTAGCAACTTTTAATATAACTTCTAAAAATTTTGTACAATCCATCTTTTGAAGTGGACTTATTGCATATTCCAAGTAACAACAATTTTCATACTATGTCAAATTTTTGTATTATCTTTTATAATTATTAATATTAAGAGTATTATAAAAATTATTTATAAATTTATCTTAAAATTTCTTTATATTAGAGGAAAAGGTGAGAGATCACAATTTTTTAATCCTTTGATTATTTAAATTTCAGAAGTTTCACTCAATTAACTTTATACTTAGAAAAGTCATTTATAAAGTTCCAAGAAGAAGTATAAGATAAAGTCCACTTTTTTTACACTACAACACAATTTTAAGTTTTTAGTAGAATTATTATATAAAAAAAATAATAATAATGTAAGTATTTTTTATCAAGTATCATTAAATATATATATATATATATATATATATATATATATGTATATGATTATAGTTATATAATATATAATATATGATATTTATTAGTAATATTTATCATTACTAAATAAAAATAGAATCTAATATTATGTAATAAAAATATTAATGAGATGTCTTGGTTTACCAAATACAAAAGTTTCTTAAAATATTTTAGTAGGATAGTTTTATATAAAGTTTACATATAATTTTCTAAAAGAAGTTCAAGAATTTTATTGATTTTTTTATGATAAATGGATATTTAGTAGTAATATTATTTGTATTCTTTGGATTTAACATGAATAAATTATAATCCTAAAAAGAATTAGCAAAGACATTAGTAGATACCACAAAAAAAAAACATTACCTCTTTTCCATTCCATAAATTGTCAATGAAAGTTGGAAATGTGATAGTATAACCCGTAGTATTAGAGACTTATTACCATTAACTTGTGCATAGTTTTGAATTGATAGAATGGTTTTACTTAAACTAGAATATAAGTAAATAAATAATAAAATCAAGGATAAACAATATCTACAAATAAAAATTCCTTAATAATTAATTTTCCAGTATGAATAACTGAGAAGTCATTGTGTTTAAACATTAAATTATATATTTTTTGACAATAGTGGGGTGGTGATACCACTAAATTTGATTCAGTTACACAGTAAGCATATGTAATTGTTAAATGTTTTGAACATTTGTGCAATTTTGTTTTTTACATATAGCAAATCATTTTTCGATATCAATAACTTATTTTCTATTATCTTAATAGATGATGGCTAGAAAAATTAAATGTTACTTAGGCTTATATATATATATATATATATATGTTTATATTAAACTGATAAAATGTGAAAATTAATCAAATTTTGGTGATACCATTTACAAGAAGTACACAGTTTTAATTTTTATTCACATTAATCTGTTTATTATATTTCAATTTTGTTTCTGAGGATCAGATAATGTATATTAAAATTTTGGAAGAACTTTAACAATAAAAGGTGGAATGCCAACGATATCTCATCTAATTTTTCAACCATTTGTATTTTTATTTTCAAATGCTATTGTACTTAATATAAGAATCTAGGTTTCTTGCATGAAATGAAAACATCAAAAGATTAAGACAACTTCTTTTTTATTAATAATATATAAAATGTTCTTTAAATTTTCTAAAATAAAATAAAATAGAATAAAAAAAAAAATAACAACAATAAATCTATACAAAAACTTAATATATATATATATATATATATATATTTTATTGAAGTTGCATCTTCATACTACAACTTATAATGATAATGTTTTTAAGCTAAGTTATTTAGAATATAAGTCACTGTCTACAATAGTAGATCATTTTTTATACCACTGGATTAATTATATTACTAAATAAATTTATAATATTTTTGTTTTCAAATAACAATAATCAACAAATTACAATATAAAAATAATTCTAATACCTTAAACTTTAGATTCCAAAATTAGGTGAATAATATCTTTGAATGAGAAATTAATTTTAAAATGGTGCATAGATGCATCTAACTTTTGTGCATCACGCATATAAGAGTTTGAAACAAAAAATAACTTACAAACTGACAATACTAACAGTTTGATAGTTATATATATATATATATATATATAAGTTATTGCCACCATAGTTTTTGCTATTGTCATCAAAATTTGCTATCATCACATAATATCATAATTTATTCTTATTAAAAATTTAAAAAATATCACAATTAAATTTATCATTTATGTGCTTAGACAAAAAAGAATCATATTTAAAATATTAATGTTTTTTTTAATAAATTGAAAAAACTAAAAAATGATTTGAGTGGGTGGCAAGTTGTTGTGGCAACAGTAAAATATCTTATACCAATTGCAACACCATGTGTGTGTGTATATATATATATATATATATATTGGTTATATTCTATCGTGTCAATATGAAATATGATTAAAAAAAAATGTTACAAATTTAAGCATCATAATGAAATATAATATATATACACGTTTCATTACAGTGTGAAAATGTATGAAATGCACATAATTAAAAAAAAAAAATCATTAAAATTGAGTCCTTTCCATGAAAAAATTAACTGCACATGATTACAAAATATAACTATCGTGGACTAAATTTCAAGAAACATTAAACAAAGATTGTATTCTAATGTTTTTGTTCATTCACCAACTTTTATTATAAATTAATGCATACTTTATTTCAAATCTTCAATAACTAGGCTAGTTGTTGCACAATTTAATGTCTCAATATACTCTATTGCATAATCCTAATAGTTGAACATATAAAAACCCACAATGAGTGATCTAATCTCACACAGTGTAAAAATAACAAAAAGATATTAATAAGATTAGATAGATAGATAATTAAACACAGTAATGAATGGTTTTTTTTATAATATAATAAAATTATTGCCATATTCTTCTAATGATATGGTAATAGAATTGCTATGAAAAAGGTTTCCTACTCAAAATCGCAACAGCAGCCATTTTTTTTTACCACAGTTGTTGTCACAGATGCCATGGGTGGCGGGGGAGGTGCCAACTAGGCACGCCACGTCATCAACCACGTCGGCATCCACCTGGTCAGCCACGTCGGCTGCCACATCGGATCAATATCCGAAACGGGGCAATGTCGTCCCCAGTCCAGGCTGATCTCGAGGCCTCATCTTGCTTGTGCTCCAAAGCCTTCGCCGAGATCTCCTCCTCCCTCACACTCCCTTGGCTTTGCTTTGCTTTGCTCGCATTGCTCCCGCCATCACTGTTTCTCGGTGCCTCGAGAGCGTGTCGCTTGGAGCTTTTTCACAATCTAGGGAGCTATGGAGTCTCTTCTTTGCAGCACGGGACCAGCGTCCGTGGTATCTGTGCACTCCACTTCCGCCACAAGCACCACTACCAAGTGGAGGAACGTCGCCATGGCGTGCCCAGCTCCTGCTCGCCTTGCCATCCATCTCGCCAGCTCCGCCTCCGTTTCTCAGGTAATGGCAGCTTCATTATCCCTCTCCGTTTTTGTCTTTGACGCTGGGGTGGATTCTCCGGTATTCTGTAGTGCTGACTTGGTGGTAATTCTTTCGTTGAGTGAGTAATTTCGCAATGGTGCGTTTTTTGTTTGTTTGTTTGTTTGTTTGTTTGTTTGTTAGAGGCTTCTTATGTGAGGGCTGAGAGGAATTGTGAGGAAATGCGTCTTTGGGAGTTATCTCCCAGTAGACGAGAAGGCAAGTGTGGAGCCATTGAATGTTGTTTTGGACACTAATAGCTGCTGGAAGATTTTTCTAGAAAGTTATTTTGCAGTCTAAGCTGCAGCTTATTAGGTTACGATAGGGTTTTTGGAGTTTCCAGATGTAGCTGTAATGGTTGCAATGCCTTGTCATTGAGGTTTATCTCATCAGTAAATTGCGGGGTGTGGAAATTTCTGTAATCTAGAAGACATGCGTTGTCGTTTAGTTGCGGTGGACTAGTCAGATAAGAGATTCATGATGTCGTTGAGGGGAATAGTGTATCGCGTGTGTGAGGTTAGACACCTCTGGTCGATTCTGTAAACTGCTGGTGTTTGGAGCACTTCCAGCCTTGATACCAATCTTTTTAATTGTTCATAAGCACGAGCGTGCAATCCTCAAGTATTCTAATAAAATAGGTAATAGCTTTTGTTACATGTGCACAAATAAGTGCGCCTCGTACGATTCTACAAATTTCACGAAATGTTCTCACTCCGGGGACTGGAGCAATTTCAGCGCAACACTGATGCTTGCAGATATGTATTTACAGGTACTAACAAATAGGACAGATTTCTTGAGTATGTCAAGAAGGACATCTTTGCCTAGAGAAACAAGGTGTGAAGCGGGTGCTGATCTAGAAGAGCCTGTTACCGTGGACAACTCGACAGGTCTTGCTCATTACTTGTAAACTTTAACAGCCTTTGTAATAATCCAAGAATGAGAAAAAGAATTTGTAGTTCACGTCTTTTTTACATCTACATAGATTTTAGTTGTGACTAGTGTTTGTGGCTAGCCATTAGACTAGTGTTATCACAAGATGATGTTTTCTTTCATTTCTTGGTAGTCATTTCATCTTTCGTATTTTGTGCTAACCATAACTCGCTGAAGATTGGATTGTCTTGGTTTCGCAGTTTTGGTTGTTGGAGGCGGCGGTGTTGGAATGGAGACTGTGCGTGTATTAGCAAAGGCAGGATCATGGGTTACAGCATATCAAAGAAATGAAAAATTTCGTCCAGAGATTGAGGGTCTTGGGTCAATGCTTGCCCTTGGCGATGTACTAGATGTTGCGACCATCGAGAAGGTGTTGCGATCAAATTCTTTTGATGCCATAGTCTGCACTGTGGGTATGCCTCTCGCATAATCATTGATTCCATTTGAATTCTAAATTAAAGATTTTGGATCTATCGGCATGCAAAATTGATATGTTTTCGAACGGAGAACAAGTCTACGTTTAAACATCGAAACAGCCGTTCCAGAAATCTAACCTATGGGCTTTGTGGCAGAAAACGTGGTGGATATCATATTATTGATTTTTCCAGATACTGTGTTATGCCAAGTTCTTATATATATATATATATATATATATGTAGATATATATATTTCAATTTTGAAAAGAAAAAAGAAAAAAGAAAAAAGCAAGTAGGTTGTGGAGATTTTCGTTTTCTTAGAATCTGATTTTTTTCTCGGGTTCGCAGGTGGAGGAACTACGCACCCTGAAGTAGATAAGGTATAACCGTTGCCCTTCTCATGTACCGAGTTTCATCGCATATTATTATCGTGGATCTCTGATTTTTCTTTGCAATCCAAGCATGTTATTTTAGCGCAGTTGACCAAATTTCAGCACATTTTTTGATGGATTTTGTCACAATGACAGGATGGTCCTATCAATCTGGCAAATGCAGCCAAGAAGGCAGGCGTGAAAAGATTCATCATGGTATGTTGAACCTGTTATATGTGGTTGTTATCGCATTCGAGCAGAAGAAGTTAAAATACTAGCACGGAACCTTAGCACATGGCACTTCACGAATTGTTTTTACCATTGTCACCATCTAACTGTATAGTTGCAAACGAGTGCACGGTATATATTTCATACTAGATAAAACAGATATGAAGGTGATGTAGTTTGCAACTGGCGGTGACGCAGATTTCCAGCGTTGGAGCTGGAGACAGTGTGAAGGCTGTTGATGATAAGGTGGGTGCTTACTGTGCTCCAACTCCATATATATATATATATATATAGATCGTGATCACTTCCAGCTGTAGTGGATGTTACCTTCTGCAACAAAAAATTGAAGGAAATGTTTGCTGTCGTATTTTAGACATTGGCAGTTTTGAAGACAGTGCTGGAGGCGAAGGAGGTAGCCGAGGAGGCTGTGAAATCAAGCGGCCTCAGTTATACTATCATTCGTCCTGGGGGTCTATTGGCTGCTGTATGTTCCATTTCCACCCATGTGATTTCTTTTCAAGTGGTTCCTCTTAACAAAAGTAATATCAGGATGAGTGACCACGTTAGTAGATTTCATCTCGGTATCGCTGCTGGTGTTCTTGGAGTGTTTTTTTTATCTGTGAGGAAAGTGATTGTAACCTAGTATCCCCTTGTATGTCGGTGAAGCTGCTTGGAAGGTCTCGGTGGACGGTTCTCATACTTGAGTGGTTTTTGCAGCCTCCTACCGGCAATGGAATTTTGACAGAGAATTCTGGCGTTTCTGGGCTCATCAGCCGAGCTGACGTTGCCTCCCTTGTAAGTGATAATGTTGCTTTCGTTTTCTGCAGCCAACTCAAACTCCTATAGTATTTTTCTAAGATTATTGAATTAGTGGTGCGGTTTATTAGGAATAGGGTTCTACAAGTTTGAATGCTTTACGCGACGATTATCGCCTGTTGAAATACGCAGATGGATTTACCTTTGTTAAACAGTGCACTTGAATCTTGCACTGTTCTTGCCTCCCTGGAACATTCATCTCTGCAACTGTTAATAATTTCATCTCCACGTTGAATGTGTTGCGGGTGTGACCTTCAGGTCATGAAAGTTTTGTTTAACGAGAAGTCGTATGGAAAAACCGTTACAGCAATCGACCAAGACAAGGTAACAACTCGTGCACTTCTTAGGCTACTCTGGTATTCTTTTCAAGTCTCGCAGCGGTTCGTTGTTACATTTATTACCTTGCACTCAGACTATTTATCCCAATGTGTAAGGATATGGAAACTCATCTTTGTTAAATATATTATTGTGCAGCTGCTTCCTCCTACCACCTCACTGGACGGAGTAGAGCTTTTGAACCTCTGAGCAGTAAGAGTGCCCCCCTCCTCCTTAGAAATTTTACACTCCTCAGCATTACATATGTAACCTAGATATGCATGTAATTTCAGTGACGTAGAGCACATGTACAGTGTTTTACGAAGTTATCGAGACACTTGAGGTTTTTCTTACAGACGCGTAGGGTAATCATCAATCCCTTACTGCCCTCAGCTCATATTATCACGGAAATCTCCAAATTAACGAAATTGTATCATCAGGTTCTTCTGTAGGCTTTATTTAGCTGTTCTGAGTCTATCTTTTGCCTGCTTTTAGTCAACTATTGAAGCGTTTTCGAATCGCTGGGACCATCTAATTATAACAGCTCTTGTGATGATGGGTGTTTTTTTCTACTGAGGTATCCAGCTCTCGTTGAGTCGGATCTTTTGTGGGAGTCATAGAGATTTGTGTAGAAACCAGAGGGTTGTTTAGGTTAGCCTCATTTGCTGTGATGTGAAATGACAGAATGATGCTTCGACAGCAGCTGCCCTCCCCGCCCATAGTTCTGAGGGCCAAATAACAGTCACCCCAATTCCTAGAACTCGTCGACGGTTTGAAAAACCTCCTCCACACGGAATAAATATTCTAGGAAAACAACTCTGTTGATCTAACTGCAGGTTATTTTTAGCTTCGATACAGCCTGAACAACGTATATGCTTACCTCGTTGGACTTGGTGGAGTAGAGCATGGAAATTCTTTTCGGGAAATAGACCAGATTGTGAGGGTTTCATTGGGATGCTGTAGAGGACAAGTTCTGAGATGAGGATTGAAATGAGGAGCTACATCTCAGTGGATGCTGCAGACCCAACGGATCTTGCACTTTTCAAACTTGAGAGCTGTTTTCGGTATTTTTCTGCATTTCTTATCTTTTTGACACAAGTAATGGGTTCTTTATAAAACCCGGCACCGGATATGGATTCCGTAGTTGGTAACCCCAGACCAATTCAAGTGCATCCACGACTCTTTTGCTCGCCATGGACTTCATTGATTTGCCAAAGTCTTGTGCTGTGGGCGGCTCATATTTTATAATCAAAATGAACGGACAGTAGGGTGGATAGATGAATATAAAGGCAGAGCCAAAATAGATTCACTTGTGATAGAATAATGGCATGTAACTTTGATCTGTTGAGTTCGTTTGTGCCATAGCATCATCTGGGGACCCATTTGGGAATACAACAAGTCAGGATTGGATGAGAGCCTAAGAAAGGGTGTATTCAAGTGATGCTGGGGCATGAACAGCTGCTCAATGCAGATAGCCAGTCTGCTAAGCATTGGGGGAAAGTGAGAAACATTTCTCTCAATCTATCTATCTTACCCATGTTGGGATCCATCAACTCATTAAGCCCATGTGGGAAAAGTGGGTTTCCTCATGACAATATCTCCTTCAACTTTCATTATGAAAATTTAAAGAAAAAAAAAAACTGGTTATATTTTGTTTCTTCTGGTGTAAAATGTATCATCAGCATTGAATATTGTGCACAATTACAGACTGGTGGGCAGTAGAATCCTCAAAAGCATCAGCATGTTGGATTGTGTCATACTTTATAAGTTTCTTCAAACTTTTCATAATAACAATAATGATAACCTGAACACAGGTGATAAAAATCATTGGTCCAAAGCATGAGTGATTTAGGGCAAACCCATCTCTGGGGGAAATGGCTTGAAAAGGATGATACAATCAGATGGAGCCCATGTGATGGCGATTTTGAGCACCATGCTGTGACCTACTGTGGCAGGAACCTTGAAAAGCCAACTCCCTTAATAGCCACCAGAAATAACAGAATAAGAATAAGAAAAAACAAGCCTAATTATATCTCGACTCATGGAAAGGGAGGTCATATTATTAATGGACAACTAAAGAGCTACACTAATCAGGATGTCACGTGGATGCACTGCTGGGGTTGGTCACCGGGCTAGTGAGTGCCTCCTTACATCCTCTACGCCATTTGACGGTGGCAGGCTGGGACGGCCCGTGTCGAGCTGGGGTGGGTTGGACGAGCTGCGGTGGGTTGGACGAGCTGGAGTGTGTTGAAGGAGCTTCGGTGGGTTGAACGAGCTGCGGTGGATTGGACGAGCTGCGGTGGCTTGGACGATATGCGGTGTGTTGGACGAGCTGTAGTGGGTTGGACGGGCCAGGACGAGCTGCGGTGGGTTGGACGAGCCGGAGTGGGTTGGACGGGCCGGGACGAGCTGCGATGGGTTTGACGAGCCGGAGTGGGTTGGACGGGCCGGGACGAGCTGCGGTGGGTTGGACGAGCCGGAGTGGGTTGGACGGGTCGGAACGAGCTGCGGTGGATTGGACGAGCCGGAGTGGGTTGGACAACTTGGAATGGGTTGGACAACTTGGAATGGATTGGACAACTTGGAATGGGTTGGACAACTTGGAATGGGTTGGACAACTTGGAATGGGTTGGACGAGCTGGGGTGGGTTGGACGGACCGGGTCGAGCAGGTGTCCATATGCAATAAAAGAGCACTGTGCTAGGGTGGATGAACATTGGAAGGATGTACTATAAAGTGGACGGATGATAACGGTTATGGGAGTGCAAGAGGGGGAGGAGGAGGTGGAGCTGGAATTAGTTGTCTGAATCTAAAAAATGCCATGATCTTGAGTTTCCAATCAAAATAAATAAACATTTTATAAATAAACCCAATCATTTATTCCAGCTTTGTTATGGTACATGGCTCGTGAGATGTACGAATTTACTCTCATTATATATATATATATATATATATGTATATACTTTCAGCTATAGTTATATGTGACAAGAGTAATTTGACTGAGAAGAGTCCAAATAATGGATCAATGCCTTACATTCGACCTTGGTTTTATTTTTATTATTATTCTGTTAATTTATATTATGTTTGGTTTTTTTAGAAAGAGGAATGAATGAGAAATAATGTTCTGTTTGCTTCATCCAAGTATGTGAAATTGTGTTACACAAGTTTTGGAGCGGCTCTACAGCTCAACGCACATAGAATTGGAAAACTACCATTCTCTTCTATCTAAGCGAAGGAAAAAAAAAAAAAAAAAAAAAAAAAAAACTGTATATTAGCTCCATGGCCAGCTCTAAGTTTTGAACAAATAATATTTGGTGTTAGTCTTAATAACACAACCGACATGAAATAAAATGAAACTTTTTTCACCCTTTATTACAGGCACATGTTTCTGGATTATATGGGAACAAAGATACGACTTAATCTTTTAATAAGAAAATGAAATGAAGGAAAATCAGAAGGATTCATTTGACATAAAATTATCAACCATGGTAAAAACATGTTGGAAAACAAGACTTCCCCAAATTTTTAATAGATCGCAAGATAAATTAAAATCATTTTGAAAGTTAAAAAAAAGATTTTGATTACAATGTTGATATGTGCACACATGAATCCTTGTGATTTTCACATATTCTCATTTTTACTCAAAAAGTTTTTGTCTTGAGATGGATTTTGTAATTCATTACTTATTTATTTCTAAAATTATTGCTATAAACATACACATATACACACACAACTGTTTAGCAATCCTCATTTAACACACACACACACACACACACATACATATATATATAAATATATATATATATATATATATATTACTGGCATACAAAAATCTTAAGCATAGTTATTGTCAATTTTTGTCTCTAAAGCTCATAAAGCATCCATTATTGATATATATATATATATATATATATACACACATACATTCCTATTGGTTCCATCATCTTGGAAAAAAGTTGTACACAGGAGTTACACAGAATAGCTTTTTTTTTGGCATATTCATTGTCCCTCTTGGCCACTCTGTATGTTATAACATTGATAAAATTGTAAAGAAGGAGAAGTACTGCAACAAAAATTCCACACTATTTATAAAAGGTATGAGCACTTGAGGGCAATATTGTATTTTATTATTATTATTTTTTTTGCTTGGTTCCATTCAATTGGGTTGGATTATTCAAATGAATTTGTGGAGAGTTGTAGAGTCCCATCCTTAAGCTTTTCACTTGCCCATACCCCTCCCCCCAATTTGATTTGATTTGATTTGATTATTTATTTATTTATTTATTTATTTTTCAATTGTAGCTCTAGAATCATACAAGTAGTTTAAATGCTTGTTCAATACAATGAAATCTAGTAGGTAGGCTCTTCATTTTTTTAAATTAAGAAAATTGTGTGTGGATGCATCAGTTTAATTCTGTATTTTGTGCAAAATTCAACTTACAATTTAATGGAACACAAGATCATGTAACATTAACATGGAAAAGACATTATGATGCCAAGAATTCAAATTTAAAACTTCCAAAAATCACATTATCAAAGTGATTCCAAACTTAGGACAAGGAACATGATTTAATGAACTTTTAATCAATCAAGTTGAAACCTGTAAGTAAGTTTTACATGTGACATCTCCCAATTATTGAAATATTGCAATCAAAACATATTTTGATTATGCATAATTTTCCCACATGCATCAAATTTAGATATGAATAGTGTTAGTGTATTTTTGTGGGTGAATGTGCATGTTCTTACATGTATGCTCAAAATTTTCTGCTCCTCAAACCTCACTGATTCAATGACTTTGATACACAAGATTGTCATTGAAACTTAAATGGTGGTGAACTCTTCCATTTCAAAATGCATTATTATTCCCCTAAAATCATGTCACATTTCTTGAAAGATGCCTTGAACTTCGTGCCATCACTATGTCACATTTTATTTTATTTTATTTTATTTTTTGATAAATTGTGGACCATGGTAAAACAGGGTTTCTTTGAAAGAAGGCAAACAGCTAAAGTCTCCTCAGTGGCAACACATGTTTGTTGTGTATCCTTTTAAACCCTCCTCCATGTTGGAATCCTTGTTGCAACAAACCCTAAAACTTGGATGGATAGAAAATGGTGTTAGAAATGAGAACCCATTGGCTATTTTTCATCCAGATGGGGCACTAAAACTGAAACAGGAGGGAGTCTCGGAGGCCCAGGTCCATTTCCATTCCCCACAAGATAGCGTTTGGTGCTATTGTCATAAAGCTGAGTAATAACACTGCAAGGCTGTGCCATGTGATGGCCACGGGGGGGGGGGGTGAGGAGGGACATGGGGAGTCCATGTGCTAGTGTCCCCCTCCCCCTCAACCTTCTTCATGTCCTGAAAGGCTAAGCTACACCTAATTCTACACACCTACACACACAAACACCCCTTCGCCCTATTCAAGATGGAGATTGCTCCCCTTCAACAGCCCACCATCCATTTGCCAGGAGATCTGGTCCCCACACTCTTCACAAATCCAAGCCCTCTTCATTCACTTGCAAAGGTTTAGCCGGCGAGTGACGTCGGGTTGAGGTCATCCTGACAACCCACGCAATATGTTTTAATGCTCATCAGGGGTAAACATAGTCGCCAGTGACACTGGGCCACTTCATGAGGTCTAAGCTGAGACAGTTTCATAACCGAAGCAGGAAAGAAACCGTTTTTGTCAGGAAATCATATTTGGGTTACCAGAAGCTTTTTTCCAGGTTGAGGCTAACAATGGAAAGCTCCTTGGAGGGGGGGGGATGGAATGAGGGAAAGAACTAACTTAGAAGTGCCTTTTGAGGCTCATTCTCCCATATTTCCCACGTAAGTTAACTTTCTATTTTATTCTCTGTTCCTTCACCGAACAATTGCAGTTCTAAATAACGGTTCGAGACGAGTATTTACTGCTGTTACAAATGAGAAGATTGAGGAGATGGGACAAACTGGGATCAGAGGGATGAATCTGAGAGGATGAAAAGGGAAGGTTCCGCGGTGATAGGGGAAGGGAAAGGATGGATGAAACATTGGTCAAGTGAAGGGGTAGGGTTCTTTGTCTGACGTGGCCCGTGCCCGCGCGGGAGATCAGGCTGGTGCTCTCCCATTGGCCCAACCCCCTCGCGATCACGTGAACGCAATCTTTAGTTGTCGGGGGAACCCATTTCGGGGAGAATCCCCCGCTCCTCCCGCTTCTTTTCGATTCCCCCTCCCCAAGGCATCTTCTTATTTTACCCCCCATCCCCTTTTGTTTTTAAATTGTTTTAAAAGCAATAACCCCCTTTCCCATGGAGCCCTTTTCCCCTCAGGAATTCAGGCTGCTCTTCCGAGGGCCAACGATTCGCGTCATTACTGCCGCCTGGACCAACTCCTCTTTGCCTTTATTTAAACGGAATAATAAAAACTACCTTGTATTTGTGTTTGTATTGATTTTACGTGAATTTCGTTTCCACATAGAAAGATATAAAGGAAGTCTCGCCCACGCATGTGTTCTTTTTTCCCCTTTATAGCAGATTTTCGGGAATCTAAGCTTGGGAGATAGGAAAGGGGAATAATGAACCAAACAAGGGGTGATTGAACTTACA